ATACCCTGACCTTCTCACTTTGGTGAGGAAATGCATACTGCAATGGCATAGACGCATCATCCGTTCATCCGGCCTTACCAAGATGATCTTGCAAGGCAGCGTCCAGGGGAAAAGGAGCAGAGACAGGCCGAAGGAGAGTTGGAAGGACAAAATCAAGGAACAGACAGGCCTGGACCTCAAAGACACGCTCAGGAAATATGAAGAGCGGAAGGAGTGGAGGAAGCTTGTGGCCAAATCTTCAATAGCGCCACAACAGACATCCGGTCTACGGGATAGGTGAAGGTGAAGTGAAGAAGATTGGTGGGTGGAGTGAGGCAAGACAAGGCATCGGACAGAATGAGAAACGATAATTTGGGAGAATATTCTACGGAGTCTAACGCCAAGTCAATAGCAGTGGCCTCCGCAGAAAAATATGGAGGCTTCGGGGTGGAGCATTTTTGCTGCTTTCTTTTTCTTTGGGGTCTATGACATTAACACACACCTCAGAGAACCGTACCTAGTTTTCCGGGGTTTTTTCTGATGGTCGTGGTATGTCTTTGTGACACATTTCTGGAATCGTTTCGTGAAATTAGTGGTAGTTGAGGCTGAAAGTGGGGTTCAAAATATGGAAGCATCCAATAACAAACCCGTCCCAGTATGCTTTTTGAAGTTAAAGCGCTCAGGGGTCAGTTCGTGTTGGAGGCTATTGTTCTTGGGAAATATTGGGAAATGATCCGCACGGTCATCCAGCACAGACCACTCAAAATCTGGGGCCAGGTCAGGGGAGTAGAAAGAAAGGTCGATGGATGAAGTGTTAAGGATTTGTTTCAGTAAGTTGAGGATTTACCATTTAAAAGACAGATGTTGTTTTGAAATTTAAAAAAGTCTTCTATTGTTTTTTTCCTTGTTGCCAAAATCCACAAATGAGGTTATGTACATTAAAATCTCCTACTAAAATAAAGGGTCTGTGGACTTGGTGTTTGAGTCATTAAGCTGGGTAATTTTGAGGGGTTATTTGACGGGACATATGGGGCAGATCGTGGTTGGTCTTATCAGGGTGACCCATACAGCAATAGCCTCGAGGGTTGTCCTAGTTGTCCTAAGATGTACATGTATTTGTCAGTGGAGGGTGTTATTGTCGATGTATCGTAGATGGTGGTTCAATCAGAAGCTGTCTGGTTCTCGGCGTGAATATGATGATGAGAAGTTTTTAAGTCAATGTTTGAAGCCGGGGCGAACTTTCTCTCTTGGACACAGGCCACACGTGGGCACAGTGTAACCTGTATGTGTTGCAATTTTAGAATGGAAGGTCGGAGTCCTCTGATATTTCACTGCAGGACCGCTATTAGACCATTTTTTAAAGATTTGGAGCACAGAGATCCCGTCTTCTCTGAGCTCTGACTCCTCCTTGTGGAGGAAGAAGAGGGTTTGCTCGGCTGCCGCCCTTGATTGGGCAGCACCCAACCGGGAGACTTGGGGAGGGAGTGACGGCTTCCTTCCTTCCCGGATCGGAGGTGTCATCCTCCTAAGGGAGGTGGTATCTGGTGGAGGGGTAGGGGTAGGTGGGGCAGATGAAGGGAGTTGGAAAGAAGGGGGAGGGGCTGGATGAGGGGGAGGGGACACCTCACACACCATCAGAGGGATGGGGCGTGGGGAGAGAGAAGAAGAGGGGACGGAGGAAGAGTCCACCTCGTCCTCCCCTAGAACTCTGAAACAGTTGGCGAGTGGCCTCTCGAAGGTGGTTATTACAGGAGTATTTGGGACCTTCTTAGCTTTTATTGCAGTTTCGCCTGTTGACCACGGGCTCTTTGAATTTGGCAGTAGAAGTACTGGCTGATCACGAGACCGGCCGGGCTGGACTGCCTTTGCGTTTAACCGACCAGGGACCGGGGTCATAACTGTTGGGTAGACAGTCTTTCGAGCCTTCTGAAATGAGCAGCCATTTCGGGCTTTGTACTCTTGGATGGTGCGTTCTTGGAACCAAGTGTTGGCCATGGCAATTGTGAACGAAAGAAAGGACTAGCCTTTCATACCTTTTCAGGATGCCCGGTCTTGCCACGACGAGTACACACGTCTGCGTGTCGGCATCACGACTGGCTACGGCCAAACTTCTGGCACTTGAAGCAGCGCAGAGCGTTTTGCACTTAGGGTTGCATGTCAAGGACCAAGTATGCTGCCCGAACAGTGGCTGGTGGGCAGGACGAATCGAAAGTCAAAACAACTGTGTTCCTTTCAAGGGCGGTCTCGCCCCGCCGAAGAGTCATCTGGCGGGCTTCGACCACACTCTCACAATTATTATAGCCAAAATTTTTTAAGAAGAGCAGTCTTTCATCTCATGACTGCGGACGACGCTCTTCAAGCAGTTGAACTTCTTGTGTCTCCAAGATTCACAGGAATACCATGGAAGGTCGTGAGATACAGGGGTCCAGTTATTTCTGTTTCATATACAAGGAGTGCACCAGAAGACAGTTTTTGGACGTTGGCGGGGATGTATCCCAGTGTCTGTGTTAAAGCATCTCCTGTCATAAAAAGGGTTAGATCTGCGATCTTCTTCTGTGCATCAAAATTGCGGATGGTCAAGTACGGCTGCTCCGGAAGCTCCCTGGGAGGAGGGAGAGCACAATCAGCCGTAAAGGTCGGTTTTCCTGGTTGTCTGCTCGGCTCGGTGGCTACACCCGCTTCTACGAGCCGAAACTTTTTTGTATCGTTGGGGACTGAGGATGGGTCAGAATGTTTTTGGGGATTCAATGTGTGTTGGAATGCTTTTCAACTCCGGGGCTCCCCTCCCACCACTGAGTGAAACAGATGAAACATTGCTCGGATGACCAGAGCTGAGCCAGAGCTACTCCGGAGTTATACTCTCCACGAAAGTGTACTAGATCGTCCCATCAAGATTGACCTAAGGAAAAACTGGAGGGGCTTCAGCTCCAAATCGATTGAGTGGCATAGGCCGTCCCACCCTCCCATCTAAAAGGAAAAAGTGGGTCAAAGAGGTGTGTTGGCGAGGGACAGTCCGCAGACTGATCTCACTTCAACTGCCAGTTACCCGGTTTCCACAGGTCGCACCCCACGGTCAACGAGGCGCCCATTCTGTGGGGTGGACGACCTCTAGTTTTGCTGCACACGGGGTAAGCGGTGGAAGAAATGATAGAAGAAGGGTAAGGAGAAAGAAGGATGGAGAAAAGGAAAATGCACCAAAGAAGATGTTGCTCATGGATCCCAGGGACAGTGGGTCTATTTATATATCCCCAACCCGTGTGTGAATTAATAAACATTATAGGCACCCAATGCCCTTAAAAACCTTTTATGCTCCGGAAGTCTCAATAATGGACCATTTGCGTATTGCGTACCTTTGTGCAAAAGGTCAGGAGGTCGTAAAGTCCACATAATGCAATGTCCCACTAACGTTAGTAAAAAAACATACTGGACTAAAAATTTAGGTAGCTTCTTGAAATTTGGTGGACAATGATGTTTTTGTATAGTGGACTTACACTGCAAATATTGATTGATTCCACCCATAACTTTGGATGATATGGGGTGTCCACATAATGTAGGTTTGGGGCAATGTCCACATAATGACCTCAAAACACGTATGTGTGTGTGTGTGTGTGTGTGTGTGTGTGTGTGTGTGTGTGTGTGTGTGT